ACGGAAATTTTTAACGGTGAGAAAACGTAATATATATATATATATATATATATATATATATATATATATATACATAAATATATATATATATATATATATATATATATATATATATATATATATATATATATATATATATATATATATATGTATATATATATATATATATATATATATATATATATATATATATATATATATATATATAAATTTGTATGTATATAAAAGGTATATTTAGACAGTTTTATTAAAAAGGACCGACGAGGTGTGTCTGTTTAATTTTTTTATTGTACTTTTCTAATTTTCAGATAAACCTTTGAGTATTGTACACGAAGTGGTGAATAACCTGTCCCAAGTTCATATTTTGTTAATTTTGTTCAAGTAATTTTGACTTTGGCACACATTATCTAGAACCAATGTGATGTCAGTTTCGTAGTTAGAATTCCTTTGTCTACATCCTGGTATTCTTTGGGAAGACGGAGGTTTGAAATGGTCTACCCTGACGTCACGTGTTACAGCTACTGGAACGAGGCCGCACAAAATGAATGCGATTTATTTTATTAATTAATTAATTAATCATTTAATTTTTTTCATAATGCTAATATAATATATGTGCACATTAGTTCTATCACATACACTTCAATATACCGTCTCCTGTTGTGAATGATGTGATATTTAATGTAGGTGGTTTATTTTGTATAATAATGGCTTTTAGGATTTTCAGTCTTTCCTTGCATTGGATGCTGTAGGGTCTTTTAGTATTATCCACTAACGATACAGAACCCAATCTAATTCTATCACATTCACTTCAATATATCGTCTCCTGTTGTGAATGATGTGATATTGAATGCAGGTGGTTTATTTTTTTAATAATATCTTTTAGGATTTTCAGTCTTTATTTGCATTGGATGCTGTAGGGTCTTTTGTTATTATCCACTAACGATACAGCACCCAATCTAATTCTATCACGTTCACTTCAATATATCGTCCCTTGTTGTGAATGATGTGTTATTCAATGTAGGTGATTTATTTTGTATAATAATGTCTTTTAGGATTTTCAGTCTTTATTTGCATTGATGCTGTAGGGTCTTTTGGTATTATCCACTAACGATACAGCACCCAATCTAATTCTATCACGTTCACTTCAATATATCGTCCCTTGTTGTGAATGATGTGTTATTCAATGTAGGTGATTTATTTTGTATAATAATGTCTTTTAGGATTTTCAGTCTTTATTTGCATTGGATGCTGTAGGGTCTTTTGGTATTATCCACTAACGATACAGCACCCAATCTAATTCTATCACGTTCACTTCAATATATCGTCCCTTGTTGTGAATGATGTGTTATTCAATGTAGGTGATTTATTTTGTATAATAATGTCTTTTAGGATTTTCAGTCTTTATTTGCATTGGATGCTGTAGGGTCTTTTGGTATTATCCACTAACGATACAGCACCCAATCTAATTCTATCACGTTCACTTCAATATATCGTCCCTTGTTGTGAATGATGTGTTATTCAATGTAGGTGATTTATTTTGTATAATAATGTCTTTTAGGATTTTCAGTCTTTATTTGCATTGGATGCTGTAGGGTCTTTTGGTATTATCCACTAACGATACAGCACCCAATCTAATTCTATCACGTTCACTTCAATATATCGTCCCTTGTTGTGAATGATGTGTTATTCAATGTAGGTGATTTATTTGTATAATAATGTCTTTTAGGATTTTCAGTTTTATTTGCATTGGATGCTGTAGGGTCTTTTGTTATTATCCACTAACGATACAGCACCCAATCTAATTCTATCACGTTCACTTCAATATATCGTCCTTGTTGTGAATGATGTTTTATTCAATGTAGGTGATTTATTTTGTATAATAATGTCTTTTAGGATTTTCAGTCTTTATTTGCATTGGATGCTGTAGGGTCTTTTTGGTATTATCCACTAACGATACAGCACCCAATCTAATTCTATCACGTTCACTTCAATATATCGTCCCTTGTTGTGAATGATGTGTTATTCAATGTAGGTGATTTATTTTGTATAATAATGTCTTTTAGGATTTTCAGTCTTTATTTGCATTGGATGCTGTAGGGTCTTTTGGTATTATCCACTAACGATACAGCACCCAATCTAATTCTATCACGTTCACTTCAATATATCGTCCCTTGTTGTGAATGATGTGTTATTCAATGTAGGTGATTTATTTTGTATAATAATGTCTTTTAGGATTTTCAGTCTTTATTTGCATTGGATGCTGTAGGGTCTTTTGGTTTTCCACTAACGATACAGTCTTTATTTGCATTGTAGGGTCTTTTTTGGTATCCACTAACGATCAGCACTCCAATCTAATTCTATCACGTTCCTTTCAATATATCGTCCCTTGTTGTGAATGATGTGTTATTCAATTTTTTATTTTGTATTAATGTCTTTTAGGATTTTCAGTCTTTATTTGCATTGGATGCTGTAGGGTCTTTTGGTATTATCCACCGATACA